GAAAGAGAAGCAGTAGTGTTGAAGAAGAAGCAAGAGAGTGTTTCTCACTATTTATAGCTCTTTGAATAAATGTCAACATTTTTAATAGATTAAAAATTAGTAATTTCTGAGAATATAGTGAAGTGACACGTGGTTAGTTATTAGTGGATATGGAGTCTGAAGCATGTGAGCCATTTTATGAGCCGTCGACATTTTTAATCGCGGCTAAACCGTATGTATTCTCTTTCTCTTTTTTTTTTTTTTTGTCTCAGTGAAAAATTTGTTTAGTACAATTAGTGTTTATTTTAAGAAAGGTTATATTCTTAAAAAACCTCAAAGCTGACTTGATCTCCAAGTTTTAAAATTAATCGGATATATATATTACTGTTATTAATAATCCTAATCCTTTATGTTCTCCAATAATAAGGTGAAATGAATGTTGATTTAAATCCGGAAAAATAATTAGTTAATGTTTTCCCCAAACGCTGACAAAAATAACAAATAAATTTTTAAAACAGAAAGCAAATTTTTCTCTAGTGAAAGCGACAAATTTTTATTTTATTCTGTTGTGAATCGGACGTGGCAAATTAGCGATGGTTCATTATGACAAAATTGCGAGAGCTTCGAACATAAGGTTGAAGCTTTTTTTAATTATTTCGAAGGTTTTTGCATAAAGATTCGTTTTTCGATTATAGCCGCCACCATTGACGACGGTAACATATGATTACTTTATTATACTTTCTGCAATATAACACTTTGTTTATTTCTCGTAACTACTAATTTAGTTCGATTATTACAGGTCTCCTTGTAATGATTCACCTATTACACGTTTAACACTCGTCCTTTTTGTAACCAAGAATCAGATGTAGGAATTTTTATACGTTTAATAACCGCAATTTGTAAGAAATAAATCATTAAAGTCGTGATTTGGCTTGAAAGGAACAAAAATTCATGTGTGGTTACTATTAAAAAACCAGACAATCATATGCAAGTGTACTTATACAATAGTTGCAGTTGCAGAGATTTGATTGATTGATTTGATAGTTATCATCACTTACATGATCAAAAAACACAAAAACCAGTCCATGTGCATGTAAACATTTGGTCTCACCAGAAACACATCTTTTAAAGTTTAACCAGACTTGAATCAAATAAGATTGTTTCGATCGCTAAATTAAAAAGAAATGTGAAGTTTTAGAAAGCGATATAACCTACAAACTTTGGTTGGATATCGGGTTATACAATAACTAAACAAAAACTTTGCGAAACTCGCAAAGACCGGCAAATTTCATAAGAAGAACCTCCTCCTGCTCGTGTCCATTTCAGGCTGCAATGAAAACACAAATCATGAAAAGACAGATTAATAATTAGCAAAACTCTTTAAGGACCAGGATTAAAAGCTTA